TGGCCAATAAATGGATTGGCTGTGATTGAGTAAATGATAATGAGAAAGAGAAGAGGAGACAGATGTAAAATTGGGAGGTGTGTGGCGGTGCCAGCCTAGTGTTGGGCGGCCCTTCGCACAAAGGAACACAAAATGCCCCATCACCTCCCAGACAAATAGCATAAGACAAACCCGTGAGTTGGCTTTTCGAAATTACACAATTGACAATACAATTACTCAAAACCCAAACCAAGCCTATGTAATCCAATTCTTTACTGCGCGGGGTATTTCTATTTATTAACCAACCTTATAATTCTCTTCTTACTTAATTACACCTTCCTGAATCCTGATGTTGTGTTTTTCAGAAATTTATTCAAAATCATTTGTCTCGTAAACAGACTATTTGTTCACCATTCTTTATTCCTGTAAGATTAAAACCCTTTAAGAACGTTGTAAATATAATCTTAAATCAGCAGTCATTTCTAAACTACACAAAATAGAAGATGAAATCATGTTTTAAATTGACTGATTTTATATGACATTATTTGTTTTCTTAGTGCCTTTTGTATTTGTTTGGAAAAAGTAATAATAAGAGCCAAGTAAGTACAAACAAATTAAAAATTAAAAAAAAAAAAAGTAATATTTAAAAAAAGAAAACTACATCGTCATAATACATATTCGTTTAAATTTATATTAGCATCACAAATAAAATAGTAGTTTAAATTTTTTAAAGCTGTGTTAGGGTGTGTTTGATAGTGATGGTAGGAGGAGTGACTTTGGAAAAATAGATTTAATAATAATTAATTTTCCAAAATCATCATGTCTTAAAATTTAATTTTAAGTAATTTTACGTTTTTCTAAAATCAATTTTTCAATTTGACAAGAAACGTGTTTTTTTATACAATTCAGTTGTAACACGAAGCAAATTAGCATTAAATTTCAAATTTAAGTATAAGAAACATGTAATAGTGCTTGGCAAATTACATAATTTATGTTTGATATTTTATATTTTTTTATGATTCAGAAACAATTGTTATGAAAAAAATTAAATAATGGTACCGCCTTAAAAAAATGAGTGTGTTAAATTAATCAATTTGAAGAAAATAGGAGATAAAATTTTTGGTGCATGAGAACGATACCAGGAATATAAAATCATTGTTAAAATTGGTAGAGGATAAAATTAAAAATAATAAATTTGTTAGTAAGAGATACTGATTCCCCCCGAATAACAGATGTTATAAATGAACGTATTTTAATAAGTGTCTAAAAAAATTAATGCAATAATTAATTTGATCAAATATATAAATGGAAAGAATTATGTAATAATCATCCGGTGCCCTAGGAAGTGATGCACCGTTGGAGACAAAATGGAAACAATTGGCCCCAAACTTAATTCTCACCCACATGACTGTGATGGTTCAATTTCGTTTCGGGCTAAGTCCATCTAAATATTTCTTTGTTCTATTTTTCCTTTTTCCTTTTAAGGTATTTCCTTTTTTTTTTCTTTTTAATACGTGCCAAATGACCCTTTTATTTTATGGCGGTGATATTCATTTATGCCCATCTATTCTTTTGTACTATCGTGATATTTTACATGTTTCGGCATTTGAAAGAGTGTGACGATGTTGGAGATCATAGCTATTATGGAGGGCTTGCGAAACCTGCTATGTCGGATGTCGTACTTCATTAGGAAACTGATTCGATTGAAGTGATGAAGTTGCTGCGTAAGGAAGAAGAATATCTTATTGAAATGGTGTGGGTTGTCAACGAAATTACGAGCTTGAAGGATCCTTGTAGTGTTTCACTTTTAGTTAGATAGATAGAGATGAAAGTTGTTGTGCCAATCCCTTTGGCGTGGAACTCTTGAGAAATGAAGATTTTTGTTAGGAGCTTGATATCTCAGGTTGACTAACCAATATAGCCAGGTTATCTTTTATCTTAATACAGTTTATACTTTAAAATAATAATAATAACAAAATGATCATTTAGGGCAGTGTCATCCTAATTATACAGTTTTCATTTTGATTACATACTATTTAATGCACCTCAAGCTTAAAAAAAAGTATCTAAATGCATCCAGTTAAATGTCTAGTGCATTGCTCAAGTACCATTCATCTTCTAACAAATAATTACTTAATACTATGGTATCAAACTAAGCTCCTCTATCAAGTGCAATATGTACAATATGTATAATGATCTTTAATTGACATGCTTATTGCGTAGAAGAGATGCTATTGGTGGGTTTAATTTTAGGAGGTTAATTTAATTAATAATATAATCTAGGAGGAAGGAAAACGATGATTTCCCAGTCCCCAAACAGGGGCTTGCGGCGACGGAATGGGTCTGATTTGGCGATGGTTTCACTGTTGATTCGGTAAAGTTTTTCACAATGCGTCGTCGTCACTTTGTCAGATACGTATTATTACAGAGAGCAGACTGTAGAGACCCTCCAATTTCCATTTCCGAGAGGTTTTCTTTTCCAATTTACATAATCTACGAATTTTTCGCAGGTACAGGATACTGAGAGAGACGACCATCGTTGGTGGATTGAAAGACGACAGAGAAAACCCTCAATTTACTGCGATCAAAATTAAAACCCACAATCGCAAAAACCCCAATAGGAGGAGTCTTGGTTCGTTTTTGTTGTCTCTCACAGTTCCCCCATAATCGGAGGCCAAGGCGAATCTCAACTACCATTGTATCTCCAAGCTATCTATTTCAAATGGGAAGCCCTGAGAATCGGGTTGCCTCTGATTCAGTCGATACCACATCCAAGAATGATTCGGATGACGACGACGAAAATGGAGTCGACAGCCCGCCTTCCGAGCCTTGTCCTTTCTCAGAAGGAGAGAAGGTTCTTGCTTATCATAACAGTATCATATACGAAGCGAAGGTTCAACCTCTTGCCCCAGTTATCTTTTACCCCTTCTTGTTCCATTTCTCAGATTCTTGAAGATTGCCCTATGGAGGAATGTCGAATTAATTTTTTCATCATAATGTAGTTCGCTTTCATTTTATTTTCTTTTTCCGCTAAAATTGCAAGCTGCTCATGCTTCTGTAATCTACAGGAACTAGTAGGCAGATTATTAGTTAAGTAAAATCCAGGTTGCCCAAGAAATTAGCAAGAATGGATGATCACAATGTGAGAGACTATTTGGCGTTGGGCCAAATGAAATAGAAAAAATTAGCAAGAATTTATTTCAAACCACTTAATTCACACTTGTGTAGTAATCAGCCCCCAGTTTTGTTTTAAGAATGGATCTTTGCTAGTTATGGCATTTGCTTTCAAGTGGCTGAAAACCTCGGATTTGAAACAATGCCTTGATGCCTTTGAATATGTAACCTAACAGTTCGCCATTTGTGACAAATGTTGTTATGCACTAATACTCAACTAGAATTTATTCCTAGCCATGGCAGCCCTGGCTTTGAGTTGTTAGGGTAATACTAAATTGAACCTTCCCATCCTGGCTAGAATGCTTTGTAGGGACTTGAACCCCCCATCCTTTTAAAATGTTCAGTGAATACTTGACCTCGTAACCTCTCCAATGAATTAGCTGAACAATTAAGAAATTATAAGATGACGTGTCCCAAAGTCATGTCAAGACCATAGGAAATCTTGCTGGGGGTTAAAGTGTGTGGAAATGCACTGCTGTTGCTTGGATGAAGGATTAAGTTCAGAATACTTCTAATGACTTTTATTGGGGGCCCATAGTGAGGTCAAAATTTGGATCGGGACATTACAAAGCCTTTACAGATGCATCAACTCAATTGGTTATTTCTATGGTACTCATAGAAGTTAGCTTATTTGTCTTCTTACTTTCTGGGTGCCATTTCTTTTGATTGCTAGGTACTGAAAACGGAATACCAGTTGAAAGAATGGAGATGTTTTCTTCATTACCTCGTAAGTAGAGTATGCTTGTGTCTCTCTCTTTCTCTCTTCTTTCTATTTTGGGGAGGGGTATTGTGCATAAGGGAGGTTGACTCAAATTTATGGTTCTTGAGACCATGTTCTTTGTTTCGCAGGGATGGAGCAAAACGTGAGTGAGTCCTCCTTTTAAGTTAACCAATGACAGAGACAGTTCCCATATCTCATCTGCTGGTTTTTGAAACAGAATGTTGGTTCTAGACATATTGTTTTCTTGATATATGTCATTGAGTGACCACTCTACTCTTGCTCACGCCTGGACCTCCTAATCTAACTTGTTAGATCCTTTCTTATTTATAAATGGAAACTGTTAGATACTTAGATTATTTCCTTTTCAGTTTATGGCTTCCTTATTCTTCACGTATTTGCTTTCAGGAATATCATATATGCATGACTAAAAGTTCTTTGAAGTTTGTGCAGAAATCAATGTGAATGCAGATGAGCAAACTGTTCTGCATAATTGTCAAATTTCTTTTATCTTTTGACCCTGAACATTGTAAATACTTGAAGAAAAAGGCATCAGAACTTTCAATTATTCACATAAATTGTCAGCATCCATTTTTGTAGTTCCCAGGGTTATGATACCTGTTTTATTTATCTATTCATTCTTTTTTATAGGAAACTAGACACCTTTCATTGAGAATGCAAAAGTACCATGGTTGAGAAATCAACTCAACAAGTCTAGGAGAAACTGTATGCTGAATAGGATCCCAAATAACACAAAACCTCTTTGCTTTTTGCCGAAGATGATGGCTGTCAGGAGTTGATGGAATTCTGTATGATTAACTCAGGAAAGATCCATTCTATATTGAGCTCCCGAAGACACAAAGATTCAAGCTTTTGGGTGAAGGGGTGATGAAAACACAAATGGATTTGGTACAAAATACAAGTAGTTTAGCAGTACGTCTGGGGTGTCTCATTTGAATATTTTTAATTGCATTAATAGCTTTTGAGAGAACGGGAAGAAAGAACCCTTTTTACTCTGTTGGTTGGGCCTGTCTGCATCAATAACTTCCAGTAAGTAACTCAGATTTCAAAATTCTCTCTTCTAGCTAAAGCCATCTACGAATTACCATTAAGGCTACACCAACATTCAGCAAGTGCAGAATTTCTAAAGCTTGCTACATTGAGTACTCTTGGAAAGGTCAAATTTCAATGGCCTAATGACTCGTGAATCGTTCCAGAAGCTGTTATTAAGGCCACAAGTAATTCGATTGAAAGAGACTGGTCAGAAAGTGTTTTACAACAAACCACATACTTCCTGGCTCTAGTAACCTTTATCCTCTGACTTTAGCAGTAAACCAACTCCCTCTTCCTCCACATATTTACTTGGGAGGACTGACGAACTGTAGAATACCAGTGAAATTCACTTTCATGGGCAAAGCACAAAACATATTTGGGGATTGTAGTACAGTGTCTCTCCCTAAGATTGTGATGCCTTGGTTGCCACCATCTTTGTGAATTAGACTTTCTTCCACCCCTTCCCAAATGGTTACCAAAACTAATACCTTTCCCATCCCATAATAAATTTCTCATTTTATCTTTCAAGAGTATTGGCCACTTTCTCGGGTATTTGGAAAAGAGACCCAACCTGTGTTAGCTAGCATGCTAGATAAAACAGGTTGGATAATATTTGTTTACCTGCTCCAAAGAAAATAGCATTCTACTACTTCGGTCTTTCAAGAATCCTTGGGTTCCAGAAATAGGATTGCCCTCCAATGCATACCAAGGTACTCAAACTGTAAACCTTCAGGAGCTTGCCATTCTTTCTGCTTGATAAATCTAAAGGCTTTCCAAGAACTTCCTTGGGTGGGAAAGTCTAGACTAGAGCCGACGACCAGTCAAGGAATATTTAGCCCGGCCCGATTTTAGTGACAATGTCTTTGTCGCCTAACTGGAGAGGGCGGGAGGTTTGAATGAGTGACTTCCCATTTTTCAGTCAGTAAAGTAGACTGACAGTCACTTCATCCACCTCAATGTTAATGCCTACTTAAATGGTCTTCCATAAGTTCACTTTCATACCAGCTGCTGCCACAAATTTTTGGAATTCCGAGGAGGTATCATCAGGCTCCTCTTTGTTATAAGCACAAAAAATGTGTATCATCTACTTAAGACATCCACAACAATAACAAAAGGGTGTTACTCAAATATTAATGAGTTTACAGTCTCTGATAGGTGTTATGATTATTCTATTTTGAAGCTTAGTTATTTTTATTTGTCAATCAGATTTGTTTCTGCAAGGAATATGGGGAAGTTCTTTTGCCAAAATGATATGAAAATGACGAGTTTCCTTCTTTTAGGGCATGGCTTACTTTACTACTTCAAACTTCTAACAGATAGATCTTCAATTTCCTCTTTTCTTTTATGTAACAGTTGGGACGAGTGGGCAGGACTTGAACGATTACTGAAGTTTACTGATGAGAATGTGCAGAAACAGCTGGAACTCAATGAAAAGCAGGGCACTGACAAAAAGGCAGCTCGGGCATCACAGATTAAACCCAAGCATGGTAATCGTTGGTTTGTTTAATCAATAATCTATCCATTGCTGTGTATTATGATACTTAAGTGTAGGTTAGTCTTCAATTTAGAATATCATAACTGCAACAGTGTACTGTTGAAAATGGGAATTTATACTACAACCGTTTCAATTTTGTCGGGGTCTGGCTTTTAAGAAGGGAACATTTGGATTTTTAATTAAAAGGAAAAACAGTGGGATGAAATGGTTGATTTGACTAAGTTCTTACTGCTCCTCGTGGTTTTCCCTACCCTAATGCTGTCTCTAATTTTACTTCTTTTGTAATAAATTTCAACTGGGATGCATTTTTTGTTTAAGAATCCCTCAGCCAACTATATTAAATGGTGGCATGAAACATTATGTTTCCTAAGAAACTTGTTCTTCGTTTAATCTTTTCTATAAAATTGTAAATTTTTGTGCAGTGATAAAAGGGAGGAAGCGAAAAAATGATGCTAGTAAGGTATGCCAAAGTTGAATGTTGCCAGTGGCCCTTTAAAGTCATCTAACACGCTCACCTTTCCACTCTCCCCCACCCTCGAATTATTCCTTGCATGCTTAAACTTGATAAATGTACCATGTACAGTATTTTATCTTGTCCTTGGCAATTGGCATCAGCCTTTTGCAGGTCATAATTTCTTTTTTTAAAAACCTAGGATCTCATTTTTTACTGGTAGGAGAAAAATGCCACGAATGTCGAGAAGCTAGTGAACATACACATTCCAGTCAAACTAAAGAAGCAACTAGTTGATGACAGTGAATTTGTTACGCATCTGGGGAAGGTAATGATATCTGCCTTTGTTTTGCCTTAACCATCATTTCGTAGGATCTAATGATCTGGTTATTTGGGTTTTGTTAATTTTTATCTTTTTCTGCAGCTCGTAAAGCTCCCACGTACGCCTAATGTAGAAGATATAATGAAGAAATATCTTGAATACAGGCTGAAGAAGGATGGAACGTAAGTGTGTTGTTTTGTTGCACCCTGTTCTCATCTTCTTAACAATGCTGTATTCGGTAACAGGAGAGACGAATCGGTAGGAGAAGTAGTGAAGGGACTAATTTGTTACTTCGATAAAGCACTACCCGTGATGCTTCTATACAAAGGCGAGCGTCGACAATTTGAGGAATTGGTCATCGATGATGTCTCTCCATCTACCATATATGGTGCCGAACACCTTCTACGTCTGTTTGGTAATAAAGCTGATGCCTTTGTTCTTACAATAGAGCATAAGTTAGAGGGAGAGGTGGGTAGCATTTTGAAGATTTGAATGCCGCGTTTTCATAATTGCAGTTAGGTTGCCTGAGCTGTTGTCGCAAGCCAATATTGAAGAGGAGACTTTGATGGAACTGCAACAGAAATTAGTTGACTTGCTCAAGTATTTACTCCTCTTATTTGACTGTTCGTGGGTTTCTCATTCTCTTCTGGTTTAAATTTCAACCAAATACAGACCCTGGAAATATATAATGTTTTGATGTGTCTGTTGCAGGTTTTTAAGGAAGAATCAGAGTGCATTTTTCTTATCATCGTACCATGTGCCTGAGAATATGGAAACCAGCACCAACAACAATTCCCATGACTAAAACATATATCCTAACTCTCGAAAACAATTTAGCCATTGAAAAGAAAGCCTGTTGTGGTTTCTTAATCACTGTATATATTCTTGCGTGCATAACGCTATCGCCTCAACTCCGATCCAATGCGATGATTAGCCCATTATGAAATTCCAGCAGTTGTAATATTTTTTCTTTTCAATTCCGTTTCTTTGGATCTATCTTATCTCTGTTCAGTTCGTACAGTCCCCATTGCTTTTATATTCAAGTATGGTATTACAAAAACCGACATAAGAGTTTGTGTCTTGATTTGATCCCAAAACTGTGCTCCACATGTTATTAGTTCTCCAATCGCACCTCCAACTTCCAAGTGGTAGCTCAACTATTATATTATAGTACTACTTTGTTTTGTTCTTTGGACCATTCATCTACTGTCTACCACATTTCCCACTTGTGTCTTCTCAACCATTTTCGTCATCCAGTTCCTGTTCCGCGAATCACAAGGATCCAAATCCAAAAATTTGCTCCATAACTTCTTTTTTTCTTTTGGTTATTATTCTTATTTATATTTAATTAAAACGAACAGGGTTTTTGCCCAAATTTCCTACAAGATCACCCACTTGAACCGGTGATCTGATTCTATGATTCTATCATATACGACATATTTGAAACTCTCTACCTTGTTCGACCCCCAATTCTTTTGTTTTTCTTCGTTCTGTACACTACCAAAATTTATTGCCATCTATAAATTTGGGGGGAAAACGGAGAAAAGATTAAAATAAACACAAAAGAGAAGATGACTTGTTTGTCATGCTGCTAATCGAGCTTGCTAATCCCAATCCGTTTTATGACTGAGTTTCTGATGGCCTCCGTCGGCAAACACACACCATTTTGCTCCATCCCAGACATATAGCTGTGCACCTCTTTCCTTATCATTTCCTGCATCACACCCAAGAATTCCGAGCTAAAGAACTGCTTCTCAATCCCCAACCTGTTCGCACTCTGAGCTGGTGCCGCTACTTGTCGCGCCTCATTCTGATTGGTTTCCGACACGAGTTTTGAGGCCCCACACGAGTCGGATCCAGGCAGACACAGGGTGAGCGAGGTGGGA